GGGGGGGGGGGAAGGTGTGACGTCGGGCCTCCGACGTTTATATTAGTATTAAGACACATATGTAACCATAGAATGTAAGGCACATCATATACTCGACCCTTATATAACCATAGAACGTAAGACACATCATATACTTAACCATCATGTAATCATAGTTCGTAAGATATTATTCAAGTCGTATTTTACCGTAGGTTTAAGACATATTATATTCCAAGCGTAATTTTAGTTTATATCATTTAGAGTTAGGAACCACATGTAATCGAATAGCGTAGGGAAACACTCGACATTCCTTTCCCACCAGATAAGTCCTTTCCTCGAACCCAATCTTATAAACATCCTTCGACCACGTCTCATAAACATCCTCCAGATAAACCGATCCATAAACATCCCTCAAGATAAATTGATCATAACACCCTTATCGACACCAGACCATAACATGCGCTCAGAACAAAACTCCTTTATTCCAAATCACTACTTCTTGATCACGTTTCGTAAACTTCCTTTAGATAAACTCAGCATAAACACCCTTATCGAACACCTAACCATAACATCCTCTTGCATCAGACCAAAATATTCTAGAACGATTTCCTTTGTTCACAATCAGTATAAAAGCCACCTCATTCCATACCTCCTACCTTCAGTCCGCCTACCGGTTACCTAGGAGACAGGTCATCCTGCTCCAGGGCCGTCCATTAACCAACAACACATAGTCTACTTACCGGTAACCTCGGAGACAGGTAATCCTTCCTGCGGCCCGTCCATCTACCACATATCCAACAATCATCACATCAACCTAGTTTGATTCCTCAGGAGATCGTAACCGACTTCCCTTTCGTCGAGTGAGTACAAATAAGAAGCATATTATACGAGAGTGTGACGTCGTGCGACGACATTTGATCTAGTTGCTTAAGGACTACTTGTCTAAGGATTATTATTATTATTAAGTATATATGTATATATATTGCATTTCTGACATAATTAGTTGTAAGACACAGTCTCGCGTGCATTATAAATAAGATAGCATAAGTTTCACATTCCTTTACTCCTAGGTCCTCAAGTTCATCCTTTATCTTAACCTAAACATCCTGCCATGAACATCCCTATCTAATTCCTGCTATGAATATCACTATCTAATCTATGATTTCCTTATCTTTTACATCACGCAATCTCCAGACAATAACAGATCATAACTAATCTCCCTTTATCTTCTCTTCTGACACCACTGAGCAATATAAAAAGCCCAGTTCGAATAGCCTCGCGAGCAGTAGCAGTCCGATTAGTCACAAGGTCCGATCCCCTCGTGCTGGACTCTGCTAATTCCCATTCTAATTCCACTCATTTCCTACCAATTCCAAACTACGCGTTTCATTTATATTATAACTCTAAGTTCATTTGTATTAGTTTATATTCCGACATCATCTTTAGTATTGAATATATTTTATATTTAGT